TAAATCTTTGGGGCCCCTGTCGGGGAGCCGAGAAACCCCAACGGAAGCCAGATCCGAGCACAATCTCTTTAACCCTCTGCCTGCCCGTCTCGCTGTATCTTCCAGCCTGGACTGATGTTGCGAATAGCGCACGGTGAGGCAGACTCTGTTCAGGCATTCGTAAGATGTGCCCTAGCCACCTAAGACGATGGTGTGAATTTAGTTTGCTCATAGGAAGACTATCTAGTCCTAGCACCTGTCGTGTGACTTCATTGTTATTCACGCAATGCTCCCATCATATGCGGGCGATTCTGTGCAGACAACGGTTGTCGAAGACTGATAGCCGCGGGACGTGATCTGCTCGGAGAGGCCCGGTCTCGCAGCAATAGAACAACACCGTGCGTACCGTTGCGCAATACACACCCTTTCAGTTAAAGGATATGTAGCACCGGCGCCAGAAATGCCGCAGATTAGTAAACACTAATCTAGCTTTGATCACGCGTTGAGAGACCTCTTCACCCACACCTCCGCCATCCATTGTGCCACTCCCAAGGTAAATAAAGCTTTCGACTACTTCCAGAGTGTCATTATCCAAAGAAAGTGCGGGAACCGGTTCCTGCCAATCTTGCAACAACACTTTGCACTTTGAAGGTGCAAAGGACATACCAAAGCGAGGAACCTTAATTGCCAAACGGTTCAAAGACTCTTGAATAGTTGGCGCGCTGTCATCCAGTAAAGTAATATCATCGGTATACTACGACTCTGTCCCCAGGAAGAAGCTCGACACCAGCGTTCATTACGTTATGTAACGCGTTTTGTAGAACATCATTTATGGCAAAGTTGAAGAGAAACGGAAAGATAGGGCAACTCTATCGCACCCCACTGGTGACAGGAAATGAGGGTGAAAGTTCACCATAGGCCCTAACCTTCCCCGAAGTCTGGTGATGGAGCGCTTTTAGGAGTGAAACCGACCTAAAGATGCTATAGATTTATGAGTTCCGTTCTCTAAAGTTTGGAACACTGAGCAGGTCTCCTCCTCGTAGGGGGAATCGATTGCTATCCCCATCTTTGGAAAGGGCCCACGCAGTTTGCGCTAATAATAGGGGTATAAGTCACATCGCGATAGCATCGAAGTTGTTAGCATCCGTTATACTTCGTAGATTGTACAAGACGCGTGAGAGGCATGCACAAAAAGAGCATGTTGGGTTTCCCGCAGTCGTGGATGCATCGATAAAATCTTCCCCCTACGACAGCTGCTAGAGCACCGGTAGGCTTACCACAGACCACTGATCATTGTGTTCTTAGACATCCGCGAGGCCTTCGACTGTCGATAGGACCGTACTATGGAACTGTTTGTTGAGGAATGGAGTGCCTGGAAAGTATGTAAGGTCAGACCTTAGGTCGGTTTAGGGTCTATGGTCAGCTTTTGCCGTCTCCACTGGAGTGCGATAAGGTTGCCCTATATCCCCATGCCCGTTCAGCTCTGCCACAGCACACTTTGTCCGGTCTAGCAAACGGTGAAGACAAACTCCTCTCAGAGAACAGAGATCTTGACTTATAATATGCCGATGGCATCACCTTGTTGAGTGACAATGCATAGGTGGTGGTGGAGCAGTGGTTAAGTCACTGTCACCAGCGTACTTTGGACTCGAGGGTCCGCGGTTCGAGCCCCGCCACCGCCACCCAACTTTGGTGGTAGGCAGCTCTGCTGTCGTCCGGTTCAATACCAGGCCTAACCTACCGGGGCATTATGTGGTTTACCACTCCAAGTCCCTGGGCTTAGATTGTCGGTTTCCGCCACTGAATGGCAGGTCCTCGTGACTATGGGGTTCGCCCAGTCTGCTGTTCATAACACTTAGGTGTGTAATAAAAAAACAGTCTAACATGCCATAAAAATACATGACGATTGAGATATCCATAGATGGTATGTAATTTGCACTATCCAAGTACAAACTGCTTGTACAAGACTG